CTGAGATCGCTGGGAACAGGAAGAGAGAGAGAGAGAGAGAGAGAGAGAAAGAGCTGGCGGGGAAACGAAACTGATTAATTGATGCTCCGTCTTTCAGTTTGCTTTTAGAAAAAGGTCTCTTACTTTTTTATAATGCAAAAGACGGACGAGGTACATTCCACGCGGTTCAATTTAGCGTTTTGTAAATACACGTACGCCGAGACCGGGATCTCGTTAAGTCCATTGACTATAAGCGTTCTAAGGGTAAGATGTATATGGTCTAATAATGAAGTACTTTTTCCGTATTAATTTTAAGGATAATGTACCTTTACTGTAAGTATTTGTTATAAATATATGTCTCAGTATATTATAAAAAGATTATCAATGTAAGTTTGTGCCGATCTCTAGTAGTAGTCAGGTACTGGAGCACAGGCTATTTTCACAAAGTCTTCGTATTTAACGTGTCCATTTGGGGAAACATTTGCTTCTCGAAAGATTTGTTCCACTGTAACACAGTTGCATTGGTTATTAATGCTGATTATTTGGATATATTGTTTATCTTGAACAATATACACAACCTTCTTTATTACTCAATTGTTCACCCCAATGAAGCAACATGTGGGCTAATTGCCGAGCAGGTATAGTGCCGTTTCTAGACTTGTCCGCAGCTTGGAAGGCTTGTATCACTTCTTTAGGAAGATCCTCTGCCCTTGTCTGTAGATGCATTACTTCTAAGAAGTCGGCAAATGACATCTTTCCACCTGGGAACCAAAGAACCCTTGCTTTAGTTGTGTTCCATAATTGTAAGTCATTTCGTATGGATTATACCTTTGTCCTTTAAATATTTATTTAATTCCGCTATAGTAGGGCTCAATCCCAATGATCTCATAATGATCGTGAGCTCGTCCAGGGTGCGTATATGACCATTTCTCGCGAACAAGTAAAAGCATTCTCTGAACTCTGCAAAATGTTTCCTTCATCAGTCATACAGAACTAGATTCGTAAGAATATGAGAAAACGTACCATCTATATCTTCTTCCCGAAAATAACGAGCCTAAAATACAAATTAAATTAGAGCGCATTAAAAATGATGGTATACCGAGTGAACGATAATTCTGTATCCTAGGAATGACTACTGCGTCGTAGTAATCACTGATTGAGCAAGCGATCCGAGCATAGTTACCATAATCGAATAATTATTACAAAACACTTGTTACAATTTCCAGTTTCACTCTCTACCTGTTGTTTACGTGTCAAATAACGTTACCTCAGGTAACGATAGGTGTGCAGGATCATTTTCCCCCACCCTGATCCTCTGTTGTTGTATGGGGGCGACATCTACCAGTGCGACGTGCACTACGTCGCAATAATCATTTACCACCCGCAATCGATCAATCTTAACTTAACTTTCGATTAACGAAAACATTAATTCCATTAAATAAACTGTACGCGTTAATTTAATTTAAAATCATATTACAACTTTCGAATTTCATTTTATTTCAGTTACAAAGGTACTGCGTCGTTTCCGTTTGCTTCTGTACCTAAGAACCGGAAGTTCCTGTGCCCTGCGTTTTCCCTCCATTTTCCCTCCATTCCGTTGTAAGCTGCGATCCCCAGGCGATCTTCCGCGGAGCGTAAGCGTTAATTCAATCACGAAGTCTGTACACGTTAATTGAATTTCAGCACGTTACGACATTCAAATTGAATTTTCTTCCAGTTATTACGACACATCGACGTTCCTACTTTCCGTTTCTCCTTCGTTCCGCAATTGGATTCAGGTACACAGATACTCTTTAACCAAACAAACCGAAATCGAATCAAACGCGCTGAATACCTAAAAAGATTATTCCATCCGAACCCAGAATCGATACTCGTTAATCCCAAAGCCCTAAATCCATTGAATTTTAGAGATCATCCAATTACACCATGGGACGCGTTCATCGATATTCCTTTGCGTTCCCCGCGATTCCAACCTCTGCTGTAAGTACTCATTTACCTGCACGTACAAAATGCTCCAACAAAACAGAACAGACAAGCAACAGTTAACAAAAGCAACATTCTGAATCATCAGAACCCAACAAAGAGACCATCCGATACACGAAGACAGAGTCCCGGACGAGATGCCTTGCCAACGGAATTTGCATCGTTGGATTAAAATCCGGGTGTCCGTGCAGCGTGCCGGATGACTCCAAGGTATAAGGTAGCAAAGGACGTGCACGGTAAAGAAAGAGAGAGAGAAAGAGAAAGAGTCAAAGAGAGTGCGTGAGAGAGTGGGAGAGTGCTATCGCTATCCCTTCGATCGCCCTTCCGCTTCGGGAGCGCACCTTTCCTTCGACCGACGGCTAAGGTCAAGTTACACGTGTAGGTGGAGGGGCGGCCGGTGAACGTAGGTGGGTGGTATGGTCTGGAAGGGATGATGGGAGACGCTATGGTGGTGGTGGGACGTGGCAGAGTATTGGAAAGCGTCGGGCATCCATGGGCGCCGGGAGGAAAGGGTCTCTGGAATCGAGGAGAGAGAGAGATCGGCGCCGGGTCGAGGGTAGAGGGCCAGACGAGGACGGTCTGCGAGTTGATAAAACGCCGGGGTCGGGCGAGAGGGGGTGCAGCGCACAGCTGGGTCGAAGGCGAGGACTGGTAGGGGAAGTCGTTGTCCTCGGAGAGCGTTGGTTCGCGCGAGTCACGAGTGATCCCGTCAGTGCGACGCGGAACGCGTTCCTGGTCGGGTTTCTTGCTCGTGGGGACGCTCGGTTGGACCGTTTCTGTTGGTTCCGTCTCTCTGTTTGGCAGTGGATCGGCTCCGTTCGACCGCGAGTACACGTACAAGCGTACCGTCCTCTTCTGACCGGTGCAGAGACCACGTTGCGCGACAGGGGACGAGCCTGCCTCTCTTCACTCTCTTTCTCTCTTTCCCTCTGTCGAGCCGTGTGCGTGCGGTTGCCACAGTGTGCCTGGCTGCGTCTCTATCTGTTCTCTTTCTCCGTAGAGGTGTGCGCGTGAATAGGGTGCGTGCGTAGAAGTTGGTGGTAGTGCGACAGAATGCGGTACAACGACCGCATAAATGAGTAATCGAGCGAGAACCGGTCGGAAGGACGAGGATCCCGGCGGAAAGGACGCTAGCCCGTCGCAGGACTCGAGCCGCTGTGCATAGGTAGGTGTCGGACGGTATATACGCGAGAGAGTCGGCGAGCACGCGCAATATTCTACGTGTGCAAGCAGCCTCGCATCTCCCTCTTTGCCTCTCTGTCGCCTCCGGTTTTTTCATCTCTGTCTACGTCCTGTGATCCTTTTCGTCGGGACCAGGGTACACTGTTACGTTGGCTCGCTTCTCCTCGTCGTTGCATACCTTTTTCTTAGTCTCCGGCGAGTCTCTACGGTTTCAACACCTCTCTGTCTCGGCGAGCGCTCTCTTGTAGATACGTATACCTGTCGAAGGGAATGGTAAGTCGCCAGAGAACCATGCCAGATTTCTCTCTTTCTCTCCGTCTCGCTCTTTCCATCTTTCTCCGCCTCTACCTTTCTCTCGCGCTGTCTCTACGGCCACCGAGCCACCTTAGGGTACGTTTACACTGATGAATCGTTTGAAACCCGCTGGCAACCCTTGACCCGCTAACTCGGGAGGATGAGTTAATTCGTCGCGTGCGGGTCAGGTATCGTCTAATGATCTTTCGTCTTGATGCTCGTTCGAGCGTGGCTTCTTTGATGATAGCGATTAGTTAAAAGATCACGTTTCAATGTACCGATTGTTTCGCTAAAGGTGAATTTTCTGTTCTCCTTACAGCGATAGTATAGTCAGAAGTAGACTGGAGATTTTTATAAGATAACATTCTATTTAATTAAACGCGTCGCTGTTCTTACTTCAATTGTAACGCACCGGGACCATTAACAATGGAAGCTAAGTAACGTTGAACTTCAGTCTTTATAGAAATTCGACTTTTCCATGGAGATCCGCAGTCTGGGGAGACGTGATCGATAACGCCTCGGGCACCGCGATGCAATTAAATCTTCGGGCGAACAAAGGGGAGAGGAGAAATTATTCACCCGGTGAAAAAGGGGCTGATTTTAAGGGTGTCGAGGCCTCGCGATCCGTCGCGATACGAATTCACACGCGAGTTCGCGGGTGGAAGCTCGAAAGCGCTCACGTGCGTTCGTACAGGGTGTACCGATAAGCGTCGACTGTTCTATTCAGAAGAACACGCCTAGGTTAATTAACACTGGAACTACCGAGCATTTAATACGGTTAATATGTAATCCATGTGAAAATTATAATAGATTATTTTTAGTTCCATCAGATACTCATTGTTACTAGTCAAGCGAAACTAGTTTTCAAGTCATTTGGAATATTCAGTACCTTTAATCTTACGTTGAAAAGTACGGTACGCAGTCTTAATCTAGCGATAATAATTCACATCCGAAGACACGTTAGCCTTTCTCGAGTCGAACAAGGCAGGAGGATGCTCCGAACGTTCGAGCGGAGGCGTGCCACGCGCGTATTATAATTCTTACGTAACCCGGCACCGTTATATCGCCCCGGGGTTACGAAACTATAAACATTACTCCCGAACATTAAACTTTCCACGTAAGCAACTCGAATCCGCGAGGTACTCGCCGGTCAGTGCCCAAGATGCAAACACTGTAAACCCGCCCTTAACACGTTCGCGCGATCCACCAGCACGAACGCGTTCCGAACTTCTCGTTCCCTCGTTCTCCACACACTGTTCCACCTGTTACCGTCCGTTGCACGAGAGTTGGCGGTTTGGCTTCGCTAGACATCATTCGTTTTTCTCATCCGATGTTCAATATTAATTGAATCGCTCAGAAACCAATGTAGTTGAGTCGATCTTTCGATATTTTCTGATTTCTCTGCATTTTCGTGGAATAAATAATATTCTTTGTAGCTATTAATTAAATATTCTTTCCATAGCTTTTGAATGTGTTGCATAATAATTTAGGCGATGCATTGAAAAATATTTTCTCAATTTCCCTTCTCTGAGCTTAACCCTTTGCACTCGAGAGGCGCCTTTCAGTCGCCATTTGATTTGACCCATGGGAATGATCAAATTTAGAATTCAATATTAAATTTTTAATGCATCGACACATGGAACATCGAAATAAAATAGTTCTGTTACTTAATTTACGCATATTTCATCAGAAAATAATGAACATTTGTCGAGAAAAATATTCTCGAGTGCAAAGGGTCAACGTTGGCTTCCGAGCGACTCGATTCCTCGATGCGATTACCCAAGGGCCAACCCCTTTTACCTCTGTACCATGTCGAGTGCCAACTCTCGCGCAACGGCCGGCACTTACCGTTGTTTTTATTATTTTCGCGACACCGCGAGCGCGTGAAATGCATCTCCGAGGGGAGGGCTCTCCTGCGCGCGACGTTTCTCGCTTTCCCCTTTCGTTTTTCCTGTTCCCTTCAACCCTTCCGGCGAACGAAGGCGACCGTGAAACCCGTTTCCCGGCGGCGCAGCCGAGCGACGATTTAAAGAGGATTTAACTGATCGCAGGATTTACACACGTGACACGCACAACAGGTAATCGATCCCCGTGGTCTCGTTGCGTCCCGTTTATACGAGTGCACGGTGCCGCGAGCTCGCCGCGGCCCGTGGACTTTTAGGGACCATTTTGTCGGCCGGCTGCAGGTGGAACCGGAGGACAGACGGTGGACCGTTGTTTCGCGATGATCGATAAAGTTCCATTTAGGCAGTAGTTATTTAATTTCATTGAACGCTTCCGGTTGATTTAGCGCCGTGCAGCGGCTAGTTAAATTCGAGGTAATTACCATTCCCGGTTCCAGGCTTCCACGGGTTACTCGCCTCGTGGTTTAACGGGATGTTTCAAAATTTGTAACGAGACTCGTTTGAAATATTAACGCGTAATCCGTTAGTTTTCAGTACGAGAGAACTCAGAGGTTTGAAATTTGTAACGTTTCGAATGTTCAATGCAGAAGTGCAGGGATTGATTTCGAAGTTCCTCGCGAAAGCACCGTTACCATCGTAATAATGGCGAAATGAGATTGAAATCGGTCGTTTCGACCTGTCTGGTAGTTCCACTGTTAATACAGCGACATTAACGCTCGAGCGCGAAGGATCGAATTGAAAGATAAAGACGCTGTAATTTTATGGAAGATCTGCCGTCTGGAGTCGGGTCGAAAGAGTTGTTAGGGGTCGGGAGGAATCGATGCGAGGGGGGTCGGTCAAAGGGATCGCGAGTACGGTTATCTGCGTGGGAAATTGCGAAAGTTGGTAGCGAGAGTTTAATTGTCGTTTAACGGGAAAAGCGAGCGTTAAACGGGCCGGGTATCGGGTCGGCGCGTGCAACGAGCGTTGCACAAGGATGCTTATCTGCGTGAAAGTTACATTATAATAAAAAGAAAAACGCCGGGGAAAAAGAGGTCCGACCGCTGGACTCGATTAGGAGCGCGGAAAAGGGACGCGGGTTCGTTTGTTGTTCTAAGGAGGTCTCGCGCGCCGCGGGCGCAAAAAGGAGCTTCAAGACTCATTAGCGTTATCGGCCGATGAACTTCCCGGCGGAACCGTGTGTAATTGCCGCGCGTTCGTGTCCGGTCTGAGCGACGGAAGCGTGTTGCGGCTGCCAGCGGAGTCATGCAGATTGCAAATCAGTTTTCGGAGTTTACGTTGCTTCTTAATTGAGCATCGGTGCCTCGGTTATCTCCGAGTATGTTCCGGTCAAAGTTCATCTCGCGGAACATTCGTTCGGTATTAGATATTCGAGTTGGAAAGGTCGTTCCTCGTGTTTCAAATGTTCGACCCATCGAGATACCGATGTTTCGAATTTTTAATCTCTCGAGGATCCGAATTTTCCGTGTTACGAATTGTTAAACCTTCAACCTTTCGAACGCTCGAGGTCCTGAAACCGACAGGCGTTTAGGAAGCAACGCAAACTGAATTGATTCACAAGGAAATGAAGTTCTTAGTCGGTAAATTTCTCGATCCGGACCAGTGAATCGTTACGGGGCTCGCCGGGACGAATCGCGAGCAGCGTTCCGTTAATTCGCGACCCATCGACTCACGACGGATCCGGGGATCAATAATCGGTCCCGATAATCGTGACGCGCGGCGAACGTTGTCTAATTAGCGATTCCGAGCCGGAATTCTGTTCCTATTCATGTTTCGCGCGATTAGCGATCGTTATTCGAAGAAACCCATTGTGAAATTTATTGAACCGTACACTGTTGCAATGCTCTGCCTCTACGGGTAGATTGAAGATCTCTATGCAAATCGTTCGATTCGAACGCGAATCCGGCGAATCCTCGTGATTCCTGTTAAGGATGTCGGGCCATTGGACGAATGCAAGTAGAATCTGATGGAATACTGATCGAGGTATTCATTTTCTTTAATATTCCCCGAAACTGAGAGTCCTTATAAGCGTATAATGGCCGCAAACTTATTTCCAATGATTTCTTCTCTATTTTATTCAGAAAATTTAATTTGCTGTTCTTTCAATATTTCATTTTATTTTATATTTTCCTCCTAGTTATTTTTTTCGCTTTTGTTACTATCACTCATATATGAATCTAATGTCTACCACAAAATTATTAGATATTAATATTTATCATGTTTACTCCTCAAAAAAGCTGGGAAACCTTACGAAACCGAGCACCATCCGAAACTATCATCTGAAACTTGAAAAAAGCCGTAACAGAACCGCGATCGATCGTAATTCTCTGGATCCCCGTGCAAACGTTATTGTTCCCCGTGTACTCTGAATTAGCTGTTCTTACGGGTCGCGACTTCCGGCGAGTTTAAATTACCGATGCCGTTGCGCGTTGCAAATTAATAACCCTCCCACGGCGTAATCCCGCTGCGCGCAGGGCTGCGAGTCTCGTTCAGAATTTCCCGAGTGATGTTCGGTCACCGATCACCGTGGACCGCGAATTAAATAAACCGTGCAGCTGCCTTTAACCCTTCACCGGCGAGTTGAATTTCAAATTGCCCATTCTTTCCACGATCGCGCTGCGCAATTCCAGGCTTTATTCCCGAGCGTTCCGGGTGAAATTAATCGGAAATATTAAAATTTCATTTCCATCGAATTCAGGAGTTTCATTAAAGGCTGGGAATTTCAGACCTTTCGGTAGTTAACCTGTGAATTTTACATATTCCGGTGTCAGGGCAATTTGTAGAT